TTTTCTTATTATTATACAACTCTACGCGCAAAATCAAAAGTTACGTGTTTGATCAAAAAGTTAAATGATACGCTTCATAAGCCAAAAAATAGGATCACCCAATCAAGCTCTAATACTCCATACTAAAAGTTGGTTGAAACCCCATGGTAACAAAAGCCAATCAAATTTGAAGTAAAATATGGTTGGAGAATCCGGGGAGTCAAATAGGTCTATCATAGGAGTGGTCATATCGGTTTTAATCCGGTTCGATGAGAACGGGTTGGAAGAATTATTACCAAACAAAAGCCGTGGTTAACCGTGGTTAAGGAAAATCGTCACTCGAAGTAGCGGCTCTTCTCTTACAGTACAAAAGACGTCACTTGAAGTGACGGCTCTTCTCTCACAGTACAAAAGCCGCCACTTGAAGTGACAGCTCTTCTCGTACAATACCACACCAGCTTATTCAACTGAAAAAACAAAAAACATCTGCTCAGTATTGTACAATCAACTCAGAATCACCAGTTGTGTTTGATGGACTCAAAATGACTCAATGGACTCAATGGATAGTTGTTTGATGATTCTGAGTTGATTGTACAGTACTAAGCAAGTTTTTGTGTTTTTTCGATTGAATAAGCTGGTGTGGTACTGTAAGAGAAGAACGTCACTTGAAGTGACGGCTTTTGTACTGTAAGAGAAGAGCCGCCACTTGAAGTGGCAACCTTTGTATAGTAAGAGAATAGTCGTCACTTCAAGTGGCGGCTTTCCTTAACCACGGTTAACTCTAGCAGTATTTGCGAAATTATTTTTAACCCAAAAATATTTTGAGAATTATTTATTTAATTAACATTATTTCGGGAAAAAACTCTCGGTTTGGATTTGTTGTTTTTAAATAATAGTGGAAATATCCCGTTAGGTCAACTTTTACACTCACGATTTCAATTATGTCTAGCTACATATTCCTTTTCATTTTTAAACTTTCGTATTTTCACTTTTGTTTTTTATACTTTCAAAAGTGTCTAAACTCTTAACCATACCTAATCGGGATAAGGGTCAGTTTGGTCCTCGAAGTTGCAAAAAAGGGGTCAAATAAGTCCTTATATAGAAAATTCTGTCCGGACGTGCCATTTGAGGTGGCTCCCGGTGGAATTTTTTGATGAAATTTTTTGAGCGTCTTATTCATTAAGTCTAGTTTACTCATACCAAATTTCAGATAAAAATTCAATCGGGAAGACATTCAAATGAATTCTTGAAGATAACTGTGCCGTTAAAAGCGATGTTATCAATTCCATGTAATTAATATAAACACCAAGGAGCCTTAACAAATTAACATCAAGAATGAGTAACCATAGGAGCACCTACTATGGAATTGAAAGGATGAAAGTTCATGGGCATTTCAAGCGCAAAAGACGGGCAGGAGACAAATTTCCTACCTCTACGGAGCATTCATTTTTTGGAAAGAGGAAAATCCATTTGTTGGAATGTTTTTTTCTTCATGTAATAAGATTTTGACCCTGTTTGTTGACACATTGGTCATGCATATTGCTGTTTTGCTTCCCCTTTATTTTGATTTATTGTATCGTAAGAGGATACGTCCTCATTCTAGGGATTACCAATAGACTTTGGCTTTGTAATCCTATCTCTTCAATTTTTGTTTGGTTTTAATATCATATTAGGTGGTAATCATGTTTAAATAATGTTAACTCTTCATTATTATTTTTATCTTTACTCAAGGACTACGTACATACCCCAACCAAGAAGGAATAGGTGTGTGTGCCAAGAAGAAATAGACTAATATGTTTAATTGAATTGTCTGTGAACAAGAAATAAAGTGTCTGGTCACAGACAATAACCACTGGAACGGCTAATGCGTTGAGTGGAACTGTTTGTGAACCATACATGAAATGTCTAGCCACATGCAATTCTCATTGAAATAGGATAATGTGCTAAGTTGAATTATCTATGAACCAAACACGGAGTGGCATCTAAAAACGATGATTTTATTACATTAGTTAATATATGTGGAAAAACTAATTGTGCTCCATATAGTTATAAGATATGTACAAATGATGGAAAAAATAATCAATTTGAAAGTCAAGCATTGTGTTTCAAAATAAAGGATATATATGAGATGATTTATTCTTGTATTACTTACTTATATATAATGCCAACGGAAGTGCTAGGTGTTCTATGTACTTACTTACCATGCTTGTGGCCAGACATTTCATGTCTGGTTCACAGACAATCTCACTATGCACATTAGCCCATTCTTGTGATTATTGTGTATGACTAGACATTTTATGTCTATTTCACAGACAATTTGACTTAGCTCATTATCCCGTTCCAGTGACTATTGTCTGTGAGAAGACAATTCATGTCTGATTCACAGACAACTTCACTTAACCAAATAGCCCGTTCAAGTGACCATTGTCTGTGACCAGACACTTCATATATGGTTCACAAACAATTTCACTTTTCTCATAATCCATTCTAGTGACTATTGTCTATGACCATACATTTCATGTCCGGTTCACAGACAATTTCACTTAGCCCATTGAGCCAATAACTTATTCACAAACAATTCTACATAGTACACTCAACAATCCAATGGAAACAAAATAAGTCATCTGGTACTCTCATTCTTAACTTTCAAATTACTTAATTTTTAAATCATTTATTTTATCAATGTCTATTTCAAATAAAAAAACATCTTTGATAACAAAAGCAAGTCTAAATACTATTACATTCTATATACTTGTAAATGTTAATACAAGAGTCATAATAGATACTTTCATTAAAGTTAATACATAAATGACATTGAATTCAAAGGAAAATAATTGAGAACATTACAACACCAAAGCTAAGGCTGAAAATTTTCCACAACTAACATTCAAACTATGCTCCATATTAATCGACAACTTTTCTGTCTTCATTTAGTCTTTGACTTTCTTTGGGACTCAATTTGATCCTGGACTATTCGAGATGTGAGATAGCTCAGGTTTTGCATAAGACAATGAATCATCATTCCATGCAAATGCATTGCAGCTAGTTGGGCGTGAAAGATGACTATATTACACCATGAAAGAAATGAAAAAGTAAAATGAAGTGCATATGAATATGTAAAATGAAGTGCATATTTGGAGTTTGACTTTTCAGTAGCTCTTTCTCTAGAAATTTTATAACTCTTTTGAGGATTGATTACTCAATAGATCTTGAAGAAGTCAACTCTACATTCTTGTAAAGCAGTACAAGTCAAATAAATATGAAACTATAGCCTGAATTTGCCTTAAGTTAAAACAACTTGTATAATGCTTTGATTAAGTTGAAGGCAGAGAGGACTTTCGTAGCATTGAAGAGAGTCTCAGTTTGACCTGATGTCATAATAAACTCTATTCCGTGTGGTGAAGCAAATTAAAAGAAAAACAAATCAACTAATTAATAAAAAGTCAAGGGCATACTAAAAACATTTATGTGATACTTCCTTCCAAAGTGCAGAATACCATTATTATCCACACATATACACGAAAAATGAAGTTCTAAGACATAATTATTTTAAACTCAATGTTTTAACGGACCTTACACTATTTTTTTGCCATGAATGTATAAGTGTCGCCATGCTAAGATGTGCATGAAATCATGGAAAAAATACCCTCTATTTTCATTACTTGATGTTTTAGCTTTAGCACAACAACAATTAGAAACATAAATTTAAATATTAAACTAGCAAATCATAAAAAAAAAACAAAAAATAGTGTATTTAATTTAGACTTGATAACCAGAAAATTAGAATCTACAACTAACAAACAAAAGAAATAGATAAAAAAGTCTTGGATTTGAATAAATTTTCCATTGAGTCATTTTAACAAACATGTCAAGAGCATTGAATGTAATATTTTTTTGAGAGAATGGAAAATAGTAATTGGACTGAAATTTCAATAATTAGCACCACAATATCTTACAATAGAACAAAATACTCAAAATTTTAATGATATAAGACACAAATCCGGAAAAATAAATAAATCCAAAAGTTGCATAAGAAAAATCGGAATATATTATTACCTCATTAATAATACTTTTGAGAAAAATTATACATCACAGAGAGAATACTTCATCACATTCTTGTATAAGGCAACTTGATTAGAAGATAGAAGGGGAAATAGTGGACAAACAAGAAAAAGAGATGAAGAAAAGAAGTTTGGCAGGAGAAGGGGAAGAAGAGTCGTAGGTATGCGAGAAAGGGGCAGAGAAAGAGAGAAAGGGGTTGGGTGGGATTCTGGGAAGAGGTAAATCAAAGAAAAGAAAGGGTAAAAATAAATTGAGAGACTTTTATATAGTGTACAATTTGTGTACAATATATGTACACTTAGTATTTTCGTTTGTACTACGTACGTATTAGTTTATGAAAGGTGTCACAGTGTCACCGTGTCATGATTGACACCTCACACCTTACGTGTGATGCACTTGTGAAGGCATTTCGGTAGCCCGTCGGTAAAAAAAACTTGTAAGTAGGCTATTTTTGAAAGAAAAACATAAGAGTGACAAAAGTGATATTATTTTCAGTTTTTTGTCTATTTGTGATACATTCCCATTTAAATAATATATGAAGATATTATTGAATTTCTTTAGTTCGGTTTGATTTTATTCAATTTTTATCGATTGCAGTTCAGTTCAGTTTAATATGGTTTGGATTAAATACTACCAAATCAAACTAAATTGTATATGGTCCGGTTTTGGTTCAGTTTAGTTCGGTTTGTTACGGTTCGATTAAACCAAACCAATATGCCACCTCTAGTGTACAGTAGTAGTTAATTCAATTTACAATCATTATAAGTAGAGTTCTCCTTTATAGACAGTTTAAAAAAGATTACTTTTACACTTCTTCCACTCTTTTTAGTTGTAACTCATTAATTTTCACATATGTCAATGCACAAATTTAATCATTAATATATTTCACTCCTTATTAATAAAAAAATCATTTTTTCAAATATCAAAATTAGAGGATTTTAACAACATTTTCCAATGCTATAAGATATACGAAGTATATAGTTGAAGGATCTTGAATCCTGGATGATTGTATCATAATATAATGCATGCTACCACCTTAAGTATCTTTTATATTAAAATTGTTACTCATAACTCTCACATTATGCTTCAAGTAGAACATAGTTTGGCTCATGTTTCAGCCATTGAAAGATAGATAGAGAGCTCCACGCCATCTTCAACAATGAACAACTGAACAAGGCTCTATCCAGGAGTAGGCGTAGGTGGTGGTAGTTGGTCTGATGAGATGAACATGTGGATATCTCCAAGTTGGGAGTGAGATATGTGGAGTACAATTTACAAGAGCCAGTAGTTGAACTCTACTGTCTACACATTTGTACCAAATAAAAACCATACTATAAAACATTATTGATCAAATAACAACCGAATGTGGGAATGGGAGAAAGCATTATTCCCACGGTATTACCAGCAACAATTTGATATTTTGATCCATTAATTAACATCCCGGAATAGTGACATACTCCATGAACTCTGGGTCGTTACACAGTCCCATTAAAGTTTTGGGAAGAATGCATAGCTCTATATCCACACTCCCTTCTTCCGGTCCAGCCAAAAGCGTCACTTTCCCGTCGGACTTATTCCCCATTCCGCTCCTCACTGCCACCGGTTTCCCCCACCCGAAATCCGTTCCATACATGTCGAACCGGGGAGAGCTGCTTATGAGCAGCTTATTTCTAGCCAAGTAAATCTTCTCCTCGCCGAGAAACGCCGGCGATCGCACCCACCTCACATACTCATTCATCACTTCTTCACGCCCCTGCTTCTCCACAGTTTCCTTCATCTTCAGAGCTGCCCAGCCCCCTCCTTTCTCTATGAGCTCCCCTGCTTTCGCCGTCACCATCTTTAGGTAAAGCGCGTTTCCCCAGTACCCTTCCGGCAGTGGGACCCTCGATCGGGTTCCGATGGTAATGCAGAGCTGAACCTCTTCGTTCCCGTCGAGTTCCCGTGCGCGAGTGACCGATACCCATATGTGGGCCATGTATGCCTGCAGGGAGGAGACGGAGTTGTTGTTTGGCATTCCCAATTCAGAGTTCACCTTTTGTTTGAGCTTGGCTATGGCTTCTCTGCTCAGCCGGAATACCCGCTCTGCATTTGCCGGCGGAGTTTTCATACACCCGAGAGATAGCCTTTCTTTGTTGAGAGCCACAGGGAGACGAACAGGGCGGGTGGTGTTTTCCGGGAACCAGCGGTCCAGGACGGGAGGTTCCGAGATTTGAGGGCAACCGCGTGAAAACTCCGACCAAGAACGGAAGAAGTTCCAGAAGGAAGCTCCGTCGGCGAGGGCGTGGTTCAAAGTGCAGCCGATGAAGTAGCCGTCGAGAAGCTCCGTGACTTGCACTCCGAACAGCGGCTTGCAGATCCCGTCGCAGTTGCGGATTCCGTTAAGGGGAAAGAAAGATGTGATTGTCATTGCAGCGCCGTCGTTGGACGGATCAAGAATGGCCGTGATGGTGACGCCGGCGGCCTTGGCTTCTACAAACTCGACACCTGCATTATTGCAGTCTACAAAAACGGTAGAGGTGTTATTCTCTTCATCCTCGTCGTCCGTGGCAAAACGGCCGGCAAGAGGAGGAAAGAAATCGAGGGCGGCGGAAACAGAGGTTTTCAGGCGATCAATTAATGTGGAGTGGATAAAGAGGTTTTGTTCTTGTTGTTGAGGGGTGGGTTTGGGGAAGAGGAGCCCTTTCTGGATGGAGCCAACCAGGAGGAGTTGCAGATCCCATGGCGTCAACTCAATTCTTGATTTTGTTGGTGCACCGGCAGCTCCAACTAAGCACGTTGATACGATTTCGACCTCTGCCATGTTTAATAATTGAAATATCTGTGTTTTGATGTTGTGAGAAATGTTGTTTGTTCCTCCATTTATAGTCCACTCATAATCAGTCTCTATTTTAAGTTTGAGATTTTTGCTTACACCCATCTGTCCCCGCACACAAGTTATCTGTCACAACAACTCGAATTCGAATTATCTGTGACAGACAACATGTCTACTGTGGACAGACAAGTGTACAAAAAAAGTGTACACATGATAAGCACAATAGTTACCTATATTTTGTATAGGTAATTATGATTATCTGTACAAATATTCAAAGACAGAGCAGGTATAAATCCCATTTTGAGTAAAAAACCGCACAAATACGTCAAAGATGAAGAAACGGGAGTCAACAATCAAAAGGGGCCGAGAACCGACACTTCGGGGTCAGCCACGGGCGTAAAATGAAGCGAAAAATGAAGAATTGCAGCGCAGGGGAAAACCGGCACCGGTCATGCTTTAAAACCGGCGCCGGTTTCATTTTAAACAGCTTTACTACGGTGAGCCGAAGGTCAACCGGCGCCGGTCCACCCCTATAACCGGCGCCGGTTATACCATTTTTTTAACAAATTTCCAGCTACGAAGTAAAACCGGCGCCGGTCAGTCCTATAACCGGCGCCGGTTAATCCCGATTCTGCACAAAACATAGAGACGTGCAGCAAGATCTTGATGGGAAAAACCCACTTTCCTTATGATCTGATCAAATATATCTTCCATGCCTGATTGTTGGGCTCGAATAGACTAAAAGATGCCAATCTTTAGCCTATATAAAGCCCCCAATTCATCAAACAAGATCATTCATTCCATTCTTGAAGATTAAATTTCAGTTTTTATATTTCCTTTTTGCATTTTCTTGAAGTGTTGGAGAAGAAGCCATTTCTCTCCTCTACAATTGGTTCTAGGTATTATTTCTTGTATGTTATTGTATTTCATTGTTCTTAGTTACACTTTTGTAATTAATATGAGCATTAGAGGCTAAGTTCTTAGCTAAGGCTAGGGATGAACTTCTATGCCCACTAGGTGTTTGATAAAAGTTCTAAACCAATAAATTGTGATTTATCCTTTACATTTTGATTGTTTATGACTATGGTGTACAACATAGAAGTATGTTAAACTTAGTTTATGCTTGCAATTAACGTTGAGGTCTAAACTATGAACATTAAAGGATAAACATATATATTACCGAGAATAGAAATATATCCGGTATTATATGATACGGGTGTGATGTCTTGATATTCAACGGGGTTTTCGGTAGATGAATGTAAGCCGTAACGGGACTTACACGTAACGAAAACCACGCTCTCACTGCCTTAACCGGAGTTGAGAATATATTAGCGACATCGTATTCATAATTGTTGGTAAAGAACTAATATTCAACCCTATTAAAGCATTTAAGTGATTCCCGAAGCCTTAGTTGTTGTTATCGATCACTCTAATCAAATTAATTTAAGTTATATCTCTGAAAATTAAAAAGAAGAACCAAGTTGTTGTTTTCACAACAACACACGACTCAAAATCCCTGCACTTTACTCATTTATTTATTTAAAGTCATCTACTCTCGGACTAAATTAAACAACGTTTCCCTGTGGATTCGACCCGGTATTTTACCGGAATTTATTATTATATCGGCACTTGTACACTTGCAAGTTTAGCCCGGTCAAGTTTTTGGCGCCGTTGCCGGGGAAACGGTCTTGTTTAATAAAGTCCAAACAATCAAAAATCCTGAATTTATTTATTTATTTATTTATTTTATTTATTTTTCACAACTTCACTTGATCTTGGAAGGGTTTATTTTTGTGTGTGTGTAGATATTCCTTTGTGTTTGCATGCATTTGAGAAGTCGAGGTTCTAAATTTCTTGAACCACTTGATCTTGAAATAGAAAAAACTTGCAAACACATTCGGAAGGAGCAAAAAGCCACAAAGATGATGCCCACACTAACGAACGAAAGAGGCCTGTTGTTGCAACCTCCCCCTCTTGCATTGTGCTAAGCGAAGATGCGAGGGACTATGAACTAAAGCAAAGTTACTTCAATGCTATGCCTCAGTTTCATGGTCAATTGGGGGAGAATCCATTGAACTTTATCACGGAGTTCTATGGGTTCATTCAAGGGATTCCAAGGAACAAGCTAGCCGAAGATGATCTCAAGCTCAAATGTTTCCCCTATACTCTCAAAGGGGCAGCAAGAGGATGGTTCCTAGAACAAGCCCCGGCAAGCTACACTACATGGGAAGGTATATACAATGCCTTCATGTCTAAATACTACACGCCCACCATGACTCAAGAGCCTAGACAACGCATTTTCAATTTCAAACAACAAAATGGTGAGCTCTTTCAAGATGCATGGCGGCGTTTCAAATCATTGCTAAGGGAGTGCCCACATCACCGCATTCCCCTAGACCTTCAAATTGACACATTCTACAATGGCTTGAACGCATCTTGTCAAGCCATTGTGGACAACCGAGCCGAGGGCTATATTGGGAACAAGAATGAAACCGAAGCACTCCGAATCATTGAATCCATTGCTTCGAATCCTCAACTCCAAGGAGGTGATTACAAAGTGGTCGGGGATTAATGAAATCTCTATCACGACGGAGATAAACAAAAGGCTTGAAGAAATGGAATCAAAGATTGAGCAAAAGTTCCAAACGGCTCTACAAGCCGTATTGGGAGGAGTCAAACAAATAGCCAACGTGGAGAGCATACCGAGCCCGGAAAGTGATTTATCTCAACAACTTGAAGAGGTAAATTATATGAACTCCTATGGGAATCGGGGGAACAATAACTATTCAAATCAACAAAGGTGGAAGCCACAAGCTAGTTCCTCACAACCCCCATCCGGAGCACCTAATTTTGGGCAACCCAAGGAGACTACCATGGAGGATATGATGCAATTCATGTCCAAAAGCATGGCAAGCATGAAGGCCCAAAATGAGGAAAATCATCATAGAGTGGAGGCATCCATTGGGAATCTCCACTCTCAATTCACTAAGTTGGATCTTCGATTTGAAGATCAAAATATGAAGCTCAACCAACGCATCGACACCATTGAGCAATACAACAAGGCATCCATTCGGAATCTTGAAGTACAAATGGGACAACTTGCTCAAAAAGTGAGTTCTAGGGAGCAAGGCAAATTTCCTACAACCACGGAGATGAACCCAAGGGAAAACGTGATGGCCATTACCACAAGGAGTGGTAAGACGACGGAGGACCCGAAGATGCCGGAAGAGGAGGAGACCCCGAAAAAGCAAAACGAAGATGGAGATGAGGAACATATGATGCCACCATCCAATATGGCTAACTATGTTCCTCCCATTCCATATCCTCAAAGATTGAAGAAAAAGAATGATGGTGCTCAATATAGAAAATTCCTTGATATTTTTACTAAATTGAGCATCAACATTCCATTTGCCGAAGCGATAGCGGAGATTCCATCTTATGCCAAATTCTTGAAGGGCATACTCTCAAATAAAAAGAAATTAACAGAATTTGCTACCATTGCCCTTACGGAGGAGTGTAGTGCCATCCTACAAAACAAACTCCCTCCTAAATTGAAGGACCCCGGAAGCTTCACGGTGCCATGTTCTATTGGCAAAATTGGAGAGGTAAGATCCCTTTGTGATCTTGGTGCTAGTATCAACCTCATGCCCCATTCTTTATTTAAAAAGCTTGGTGTGGGGGGACTACAATCAACCACCATAGCCTTACAACTTGCGGATAGGTCAATTCGCTACCCTATTGGAGTTATGGAGGATGTGTTTGTTAAAGTTGGAAAATTCTACTTTCCTGTGGATTTTCTTATTTTGGAGATGGAGAAAATGGAGATCCCTATCATTCTTGGAAGGGCATTTTTAGCCACCACAGCTGCCCTTATTGATGTCAAGAACGGAATTGTCAAATTCCGTGTTGGAGATGAAGAGCAAGAGTTCCATGTTTGGAATTCTTTGAAGAAGCACCATGATGATCCCTCTTGTTTTAGCATTGACATTCTTGACACTTTGGCTAAAGAATGTTTTGGGAAAATCATTCATGAAGACCCCTTGGAGACTTGCATCATGCTAGGATGCAATGAAAAAGAAGAAAGTCATGAACTTCTTGAGGAAGTTATGTACTTACAAGCCGGAGCTCCTTTCAAACAATTCCGACAAAAGTTTGAAGATCTTGGAACAAGTAAGTCCACATTAAAACCATCTCTTGAGGTTCCACCAAAACCATCTTTGAAAACTTTACCGGAGCACCTCAAATATGCATTTCTTGGAGACAACTCAACTTTCCCGGTAGTAATTTCTTCTTCACTCACATCTCTTCAAGAAGAAAAATTACTACGGGTATTGAAGGACCACAAAACATCTATTGCATGGTCCTTGGCGGATATTAAGGGTATTAGCCCTTCCCTTTGTATGCACCGGATTTTCATGGAGGAGAATCACAAACCCACGGTGGAGCATTGATACACTTGTAATTTCCATATGTATGTTTACGGTTTTAGCTAGTTTTGGTTGTTTAGTATTTCGGAAATTACACACTTTTGGTGTAATAGTTTAGTTAGTTGAATTCTTGTAAATTGTTTAGATTAGGTTTACTCTGAGCTCAAACAGGTCTACTATCACTCAAAGGACAGTTGGTGAACCCCAAAAGTGGAAGGAAAGTGCAAAGTCACAAGACAAAAGGGAAGATCCTGATTTTTGGTCTATACTCGATCGAGTATCTGTATATACTCGATCGAGTATCTTGTTGAAATTTCAAATCGGATCCGATTCGGGGGCAAAGGAACATGCAAGGAAAGATTTGGCCACGTTTTATTGTCATACTCGATCGGGTACACCGACATACCCGATCGAGTATACATATGAATTTGAACCTGAATTCGGTCGAGTATAGCTCAAAATCATCATTCTGCACATACTCGATCGAGTATCTATCTATACTCGATCGAGTATCCGAGCTGCACTCCCAAAAAGCCTATAAATACACCCCCTTTCCTTCACAATAAAAAACCAATTCCTTTATACTCTTAAGCTCAGTTTAGAATAGCATTTCTTTATATTTCTTTTAG